TATTTTTAAGAACAGGTATTCATCCAATCCCATTTAGATATGGATTATTAAAAACTAAGTCTAATAACATTAGCACCGGCTAGCCTTTTTTAATTGTCGCCCGATCAGTGTTGTTACATATATCTGACCAACTCGATATGTAATTGAAATTCTATTGGATGTTAAGATTGCTTTGATTGGCAAGATGAGCAATTGCAACAGTTTTCCAAATTGTCCATGAATTCTCTCTCATATGCTTAGCGTAAGTGCACATATATTGAGCTTAGAATTTTAGCAAGCGAGAGTATAGCAAGGATTTTCACAAATCGAAATCTAAGATTGACTAAAGTCGAAATTAAACCTGACATGAATCAGTTGGTTAAACAACTCATTCAAATTTTTGTTGTAGCGTGTCTTTTCATGATGGAAATTGCTCCGCATGCAGTCGAACAACAACTTGTTAACAATTTACACCACGTCTCGTGACTTTATCTTTCGCTTTTAGAATTTGGCTGACATCGCAATAGGTTTATGCAACTACGTAAGCACCCAGAAAATTTATTCGGACATCAAGTTGCGGAGGACGAGATTTCCGGCCGCATATTCTCATGTGTTATCTGACGTAAAATTTCGGCATTTATCTGTTGGAAATATGATAACTACAAATCTTTACTTGTCTTGACCTTGGAAACGTACTCTTTGTATCAAAACCTGGATCAAAACAGTTTAGCAACGAGAGAGACGAACTTGGGAATTGGTTTCATGTCGGACAATAGTGTTCATCTAAATGCACATGCGGTCTGTCATAAAACAACACTCTCAAAAAGATGAAAGGCGGCGTAACAAGGAGAATAATAACGAAACATTTAAAGAGAGAATGGAAAAGATAGTGGGAGGCAAAGCTAGCGTGGGATTAAAGAATAACGAAATCAAAGTAGAAATAGAGGACCTGGATGAACTAACAACTATAGAAGAGATTTTCGCGGCGATCAATAAGCAATTCAATAGCCTACAAGTAGCTAATCAAGTTATTAAATTGTTGCGAAAAGCATGTGTGAATACACAAGCGGCAGCTCGGTTTCTCCTGTCTGGTGATATGCAGAATAAGAGAAAGAATTTGATCCCTTGAAATGCTTCGTGTGCTTTGAAGTCGGCCCCAAAACAGCGCCACCTTTCTAAACAATGTAAAAACGATGCGTCCTGAATTACCTGAAAAAATATGAAATGCGAAGACCACAAGCATCTACTGGTTGTGGAGAAACTGTCCTAATGGGAGAATCAGCATTAAGCTCAAGAAACAATTCAATGTAAATTTAAGTCAACTTAATATAAATCACTGCCATATAATAAAAAATCTACTTCAACAAAGTGTGAGAGAATTGTCGATTGACGTAGTCATCATCATCATCATCATCATCATCATCATAAGTGAGCACTATAAAGTGGATACAATTAGCTAAAAGAACGCGGGCTTAGTTGCAGTGTGGTAATGAAGCCTACACTCGGCGCACATGAACGTCATTTATCAGCAGGGGAGGGATTTTTGTGTGCGGTAAATGCACCTACAGCGGCCTACGTCCCGTCAAGTATGAACCGAAATGCGGATAGAAGCCTTGTGCAATGACGCACGGAGGAAAAACTGGGTACTCTTTTAGCAGACGATTTTATTGGCTGGCCAAGAGATTGGGACAAACGTTAAAGGATGAATCATACTGGAATTTTTAACCTCTCTCGATCCGATAATCCTAAATACTGGGACAAAGAGCACATTTAAGAGAGACAACAGCGGTCGGATGATCCAATATAACTAGGGCCAGCAACGCATTAGCTTCACGGATAATGCTAACTAACAGGGACATTTACACTCACAGCGATCATCTAGCCATAATATGTAAGATCTATTTCGGTACATTCTGGAAGAGGTAGAAATTAGGAACTTTGCGACCTTGGCGAACGCCTTGGTAGCAACAATTATGCAAGTGAGCATGTAATGGATTCATGACAAGACGCTTTTCTTATAAGCGAAAAGTTACAGTTCAGCTCAAAGAGGCTAATGCTTACCCAAGCTACCAATGGGCGTAAAAGGTGATGCGAAAATAACTTTAAAAAAAGGTAATAATCAACAAGAAGAATTCCTTCTATAGACCGCTTCCAGATACAGAAGATGATCCAAGGGAGATGACATACACACGAGTAATGAAGAAGTTAAAGCCTTTGAACCAGCCAATGAGCCCAAAAGTGAGTGCAAAACATTAACTCACAAACATTTTCATACCATCGACGTACGTTAACCAACGTAAGTTTTAAACAACAAAAACAGATGGAATCGAACCTGCATTACTTTCAAGAGATACAAAATTTCTCAAAACTCAACTCAACTCCTTGACCCCTTAAGGGAAGCAACGAGTACTCCGACAACGACACGCGACTAATTCAAAACGTGTACCAAGAACAGCAAAAAACTAAAAATGGTCCGAACATCAAAGTAAGCAGATAAAAAAGCTCCATTCGACTGTGATCGAGTGTTTTGTACCAATCACCGTTACCCTAAAAAAAAAGACTAAATAAAACGAGAAACTCGCCCATAGAATATGCGCTCAAATTGTTTTAGGTCTATCTACAACACTTCATTTTTGTGGCCTGGAGAATGTTTGCAAGTGAAATTAGGCGGACAAACAGATGGACAAGCCTTAATCGTTTTAGGTCTTTAGGCACTCGAGTCAATAACATATATAAATCTATATAGACTTTACAGGGGCTCGGAGGCTTTCGACTGAGGGTTGCAAATGTTTTGACAAAATGAATATGTCCTCATTTTTAAATTAAGTGATTAAATGCCACCAAAAATATGTCAAAGTAAACAGAATTTATATCTCAAACAACTAAAGGGATTTTTCTTAAAAATTAAAACTAAGTCTTTTCCGTAAGATCCGTAAGAAATGTATTAGTTATCAGGGAACTAATCCGATTGCAAGTAGCCGTGTACACACCAGGCTATGCTACTATGTTATAAGAATTGTTATGCTACAAATTGCGATAATCATTGCAAAATCATCATCAGTTAGACAAAAAAGTTGATGACTTCAAGAATGATGCGAAAAATCCTTTTTGGATAGATGGATAGATTTAAGTTAAGACAACAAATATTATGAAGAAAGAAAAAAAATGCGATCATATCACCTGCGTCAAGGCATCTTTCAAGGCTGATTTATGATCAAATATTTTTATTAGTACGCCATTCTGCAAATCAAAGACATCTTATCGTTCAATCGGAATTGCAAATTGAAAAAAGAGAAGAGAGAAAAAAAACTACTTACAATTTGCGATGTGGCCAGTTTAAAACAAAACTTGAACTCCTTCCAACCCAATTTACCCTCAACACGATCTGAAAGACTCTTCATTATGGTCATGCATGCGGGTATGTAACCGATTAGTTGATGAATATTTTCATAGATTGTGTTGCGTTTAGTTAAATGATCCATCCCGATAAAAGTGTTTCTAAGGATAAAATAGATGAATATATAAGAGAGAAGGATAAGAGGCTGAATATTGAAATTATCAAGTGTACTTTTTGTCTCTGATCACATCCAAAGCGGCCGATATACGTCCATATATATCTCGCATTTTACGTACTTCATACATATACAAAACGAATTTCAAATCATTTTCGGCACTCAACAAGCGCTGCTTCTCAGTGGGATTATCGTATAGCGTTAAACCTAAGGGTGGACCTCGTCGAGGTCTAGGCGATAATGGTGGTTGACTAAACAAACTATTGACGCCAGTCTCCTCTGCAATCGCACTTGCTGTAATAAAGGTATTATTTTGAATTTGCAAAGCTACGGCATCATCTGAAGCGTTTTTCATCGATAAGTCCAGATGCGAGCATTTCAAATCCTATTCAAATGTACATTCAAACATTCAGCTATGTAACAATTTAAATTCAAAATGGAAATCTTACTTTGCACATTTTTTCTAAGGAATTTTTAATTTCTTCTACCAAATTGGTTAATGTTATTAAAGCACTTTCTACCTGTAGTACGTGTAGAAAAGATAAGAGGGGAGAAGTGAATATTGATTTGAATTTCAAAATTTTTCATTCATTTTTCGTGTTTAAAAGCGGCACGTGTACCTCGGGTATTAGGAAAAGAGCCAATTCGGACTTCTCTTCGGGGGGCAAGTAAAGGAATACTTCTAAAATATTGTCCAATAATTGATGCAATTGCGATATAAAGACCGGTATGCGAGTGCGTATATATTTGATTATCTCGTTTTTCTGATAGCGCATAATATCGGCGGCATCCTTAATGAATATATTACAAAATTGTAAAATTTTGGCACATCCTACGACATACAAAAACAAATGTAATGTTAATGTAACGTAACGTGATTGAGCAACATTAGCTTACCTACAAAACATTCTCTAAGGCAATCCTTAAATGTATCGCAAAGTATAAATGGGACATGAGATATAGTTACTGGATTAATGGTTTGTATTGTGCGATTTAATATTTGATGCAAATCCATAACGATGTCAACAACAACTGTAATGGAAAGAAATTGCAAAAATGTGAAAGGTAAAATTATCACCGTAAACTCAAGTATCTCAAGTAACTTCAAAAGTTAGTCGCTTAGCTGCGAGTCTTTCCCTCTTACTTTAAAGAAAGCCTCGAATTCAAGCAAAATTACCACTGATAGAATGTTAAAAATGATTACTTCAATAACGGAAATTTAGGCAGTCCTGCTCTAAATGAGAGAACTAACCTCAAACTATCGCTCAGTAAACATCTTTTATACATAAATCGCGGCAAATTTTAATTACATGACTACCGAAGCGTAGCTAATATGTGAAATTTTGTTTTTCTATATTTTTGCCCCCATTTTAGACTTGAATAAAAAAAAAAAAAAAAAAAACTGAAATATTTATACTCTAAACCTAACCGTACTATACTCAGGATGATCGTTTTTGTGTTCAACGTACATTTCTTCAATTTAATTAGTTTTAAATATCTCTTAAATGAATCCGTCATTTTTGTTAATGACGGCTGACTTTCCGAAAAATTAATCAATTTCTCACAAACGTCTTCATCTAAGTCGGGCAACAATGATTCGGTGTAAAGCCAATGTAAGATCGGCGTGAGAAGGAAAGTAGGCAAATCATATAAAACAGCGACCGGAGTTAGAGGTGAAGAAGGCGGTGTATCCATAGAACTAGGAAATGGTGAAGGACTTCTAGCGCGATAAGGTGACAAAGGAGGTCGCCGGATGTTGCAAACTAATGGATTGCATGGCTCTCCAGATTGTTGATGTTGTTGTTGTTGTTGTTGTTGTTGTTGTTGTTGTTGTTGTTGTTGTTGTTGTTGTTGTTGCGGCTGCTGATTCTGCTGCAGCATTAAATCTTGACAAAAGTTAAAGATATTCTTGCTCGACTGACGCAAATGATGTGCTTCCAAATGAGAATCGGAATGTGATGTGGGCGGAAAACGACGCATGCCACCCGCTTCCAAGTGTAATAAATTGGTATTACTACCATTGGTTGAAAATTTGGTGGTCGTGACCGATGAAAGGCAATTATAGGATGAAGACAACTTAGAAAGACGTTCCGCTGACGTTGCTGAGGTATGACAATCTACAGGCGGCTTCAGATAAATCGGTGATAAATTTAATGTTGGCAATGATTTTTCATGATCTTCTAAAGGCGTCGTATTGGGCAAAGTTACCGAAATAGTTATGGCATTTATTGTTTTTGCTGTGCTGGTATTCTCCTTAATTTGGGATTGGGTTTGTTGTCGCGTTTGAGGTATTGTCGGTGCGCAATTATTCTGAACACACATGCTACAATCAAAACCATTTAAACGTAATATGCAAGCATGAACATAATACTGTAACATAAGTAGAAGAAAATAAAATCGAGATGAGTAAACGCAAATCTAAAAGCAATAAAAATAAAAATTTGCAAATAATTCACCTCATAACCGTCTGAACTTTTAATAATGACATCACTAAAATATGATTCGTTTAGAGACTCGGCAAAAGAGAATTCCTTTGCCTGACCGGCGGCCTGGTCTTCCTTTAAACGTTTACATTCCAAAGCATACCAATTTTCGCAAAATAATATCAGCGAATCAGTAGGCGTTAATGTTGTGGTCTGCGGTAATAGTAGTAGTAGTACAATGTATTCGAAAGTAAATAAAAAAACCAAATTTATCGATTAATATTAAAATACAAAATAGCCTTGAAATGTCTTACACTGAATTCTATGCTGTGGCCGGCAAAAGCACCAAATATTAAACGTGGATTATTCTCGTTGACTTCAAATGTTTCACAGGTAAATAGGACATTGGCCGAATCACAACAGCTATCGTAGTCTTTCGTTTCGGGCAAAGGATTAACCAAATCGTTATACCAAGTAATGTCACTGGTATCATCCAAACGAAATTTTATGCTAATCATCGAAAATATATGAAATAAAAATATTTATATATATATATATATATATATATATATATATATATATAATTTGAATTCACCCTTCTAAACCGGATATTTCCTTTTGACCCTCGAACGTACAGGAGACAATCTTTTGTTTGCATTTGTTTAATAGAATATGTAAAAAATCAATAAGAATTGAACAGAAATTCCATAACTCACCTCCCAAGTACCTAAAAATGTATGCTCAATAGCGGCCATTGCTTTAACATCCATAAGTCATAGAAGTGGGCGTTAATACGCTTTATGCATTACGGAAATTTTAGCAAATTTTTATTAAAAATCATTTACAATAAATTTTATTGAAAAATTTTTTTTACAAAAAATTCCCTCTCCGACTCTTCAATCCACATGCATTTGAAACGCCAATTGTTTTATTTAATTTTTTCTAACGTATATAAGGAATTCTTGCAATTTTATTATCTCTCGCTTCATGTATTCACTGCTTTAAATAATTTTTGAAAACAATTCCGTCCTTTAGAAATTTTTCTTTTATTTATTCAAAAAAAAAAAAAAAAAAAAAAAAAAACTGTATTCACTCAACCCACAAACACATTAGAAGGCAAGGAAATACAGCAACAGTAAAAAGGAAACGATGAATGAAAAGGAAAACAGGATAAAATACCTAACACAGCTGAGTTGATTGCAAAAGGTAAGAAAAATTATCTGTGCTCTTAACAGCAAAAAATAGGAAACGAAATGCGCAACGACTTACTGCGATGACTAGTTGAACTGTTCATGAACTGACTATGCTTAGCAAAGACACACCACACGTTTATCATTTTTCTCGTATTTGCAAATAATGTAATACTTAAACCTTTCCGTATGCGCAAGCTTTGCCACCAACCATTTGTACAGAGCACACTTGCTGAAAGTGAAAAAATGTGACCGGAAATGCGTCGGTCTCTTACAAAGCATTGATCATTACTATTATTATTAATGTGCATGAAGCTTCAAACGGTAGTAATATCTTAATTCTCGGCACGACATGTATGCCAAAGCGACATTCAATGCCCAATAATACAATAAATACAATAATACAGAAAAACTTTCAGTATTAAATACTAATTATTAACAATTGCATTTTTTTTTTTTTTGATATCGATTTACCTAAAATAACAGCCCTGTGCTCTAGGGTTTATTGTTAATCAAAATGGGGAACTTTTGCCGATGGCTTTGAAATTAACATAAAGTATTACGTTTTTTCTGTAAATAACAGAGAATTCAACGTGGGCTTTGCTTGGCTACCTTTAGGTGTAAATTAATGTAAATTAATTTAAAGTTAAAAAAGTAAAGAAAAACCGCAATTTTATAAATATTATTTTCACTTTATCTTCACTTTATTTTATTTATTTATTTATATGCTTTATTCACTACTTATTCACTACTACTGTTGTTTTTCTTGTTAAATTGCCAAATTGTTTGTTTGTTTGTATAGAATTTCAACAGATATTTTTCTATTGATTAGCAGAGAATTTGGGACTAATTTTTGCCGACTGCTTTGCAAATTAGCATAGAGTATTACGTTGTTTCTGTAAATAGCATTACGTTAATAGTTATTACGTTTTTTCTGTAAATAGCATAGAGTATTACGTTTTTTCTGTAAATAGCAGAATAACTTAGCTGTTTTGCTTAATGTTTTGCTTAATTTGATAACCAAAAAAAAAAAAGAATTATGGCGGTCTGCTTTTAGGCCAACTTGTAAAATTAAATAAGTTCAGTTCGCGTATGTATGGATGTGGAATTACGTGAACGAAGACAACTATTCAGATTAACGAAGAAAAAAATACAATCTCGATGAAGAAATACAGAAGGGGTTTTCCAATGCCCTTTTGGCGATTAACAAATAGTTTTCACATTGGTAATAACTCTGTTAAGGTTGTAATTCAGGATGTAAAAAAATTAGGCAAAAAAAGTTGCGCCAAAGTTACGCCTGTGTTACGGAATAATTTACGAGAGCGAGTGAGTGCTTGCTGCGTCGCCGTTTTTGATTAACAAAGGATTATCAACATTACATTGCTGACTATGACGTAATAAGATCAGAAGCTTTTTTGCCGAAATCACTGAGTTATCCAAACGCATCGACGGAATTAAGTTCCAAACCCGCATACGAAATCAAAACAGAAGCCGCAGCCGTAACAAAAAAGTCTCATCTTCGTCATATCAACGATTGTGTTGGCATCACATCAAGTTTGATGTTAAAACAAGCAAATATCAAACGCAACAAAAGCAAATCTTTCGTCCAAGGCGACTGACGAAGCAAAATATTTTAAAATACGTCGCCTTTTCGTGCGAGATACTTCTTCAAACAGTAAATTCCTCATAAATACAGCAGCCGATTTATCGCTAATTTCATCCGCCTATCCATCGAAAGCGTTCTAAGCCAAGCAAATTTCAATTTCAAGCCGCAAATATCTCAATTATCAGTACTTGTGGACAATTTATATGGGAATTTATAATTGCAGATCTTCCACAACCAATTATCTGTTTTGGGTTGCTTGTCAATGTCAAAAAAAAAAAAAAGGAAAAGCGCCTTATCGATAGTCTAACAAAGTTAAGCACACTATGTTTCATGTCAATCAAGAACGATATTTTCTCTGTTACAAGTTAGTCAGTTCCTGAAAATTCACCATCTCAGTTTTATTATTGGAATGCAAAGGGATTACGCAGCCCTTATGCATTTTACCAGATGTTAAATATTCGGTGCCTAATAATATTGATACGAAGGATCCTCTAATCTAGCAACGGATGGCGCTCACGCGGTGAGTGTAGAGTTCTCAATAAAATTACGGCTCCGGGTAAATACCCCACAACACCTCATTGTCACGATTTTTCAAATCTTGTGAAGAAGTTCTTTCCTTAAATAGATTTGGTGAGAGCCTATTTCGAAATCTCTGAAATTTGTTTAAGATGCAAATGTACCCAGAACAGTCATTATCACGAAAGGAGGAAATTTGGTTTGTGTAATGCCGCTTAAGCATTTGAACAGGCTTATGCAAAAAATCCTAGAGGACCTCAAACTCCGTTAGGTCTACATTAATGATATTCTTATCATTAGCTTTTACAAGCTAGGAATAGCATAACGAAGATTTGAAAACGCTCTTTATTCGATTAATAGCCTATAACTTGACAATAAACGTTGCAAAGTGCGAAAAGTGGGAAAAGTGAACCACCTTTCCGCGATTATTTGATATTGCTACCCGAAAGCCGTATGTATAAAAAAACACGACCATAACTGTCAAATTCAATTCGATAATCAAAATCAGCAAAACAATCGGTCGATGGACTCGCCTGACATTATCGACAATTTGTACTTAAAGCGTGCAGTTCGATTGCACATTTTTTCACATACACATCTTACATTGCTTGCGTATAAAATTCGGTAGAAAGGAGATCAAAACGCCTACCTAAAATATTTGAATGAATTTGAGTTTGTGTTTCGCATTCATTACGATCAAGGAAGAAAAAAAAAAAGAGAAAAACAATTTTTTACACGATTTTTTTTCTTAATCGATCCAAGTTTACTTCCAGCAAGATTTCTCGAAATGCATTAATGACAAATGAGTTTTGTAATACTAATACTAACAAAGATCAATTGCGGATATTGCTGCAAACTAACAGACCAATCCGATTTGTTCTGTACAAACTTAATGAAAAATGAGAAAAATGTTGAAAAAGGATTTCATTAAAATTTTAATTTAATTACGTTTGTTATGGCATTTTGAGAAAAAAAAAAAAATATTAAATAAAAAAATTATTCTTCGTTCGAGCAAAGAAATAATGAATGCAACGTATAATACCCTGCTATCGTTCTTCTTCAATAAGTAGTAAATTAAAATACTATTGCAATTAAAAATTTCGGAATGCTATGTCAGCTAAGGCACTTTCTTTTAGTTGATTACCGTCATATATCGTAATATTATCGCTGGCGATGATATCTAATGGATTAATCTATAAAACAGATGTTCATTAAAGTGTTAACAAAATACGTTATCTTGTCATACTTACATTTAAGACAAAGTCGGGATTAATTTTAAAATTCTTGTACATAGCAATTTTTTGTAGAGCTCGTACTGAACGCAAACGATTGTCCGGATTGAGATCAAGCAAACGTTTCAATACATCTTTACCTTCATGGGGTAAATGTTCTACTTCAGAAGGTAAGATATTTTTTAATGAATCATCATTTGCATTGAGTTTAGAATCAATCAATTGTTCCGATGAGATGATATATGTGCTAATGTCTGGTGTCTGAAATTATTTCGAAAAAAAAAAAAAAAAAAAACAAGGGAAAGAAAAAAATTATTTTCAGTGTATGTATTGCACCTGCATTTAGATTAATCAAGCCAACTTCCTTCTCAATGCGCTGCAGCTAATGCACACGTAGTCTTTAGTATGTATGTCCATATATAGACGGCAATATCTATTTTTATCTCTCATCCGAAATGCTTTTAAGCTGCGTTGTCTATAAAGTTCTTTTTCTCTTTTTTCTTTTTTATTACTACTATTGTTGTTGCTTTCATAAAGGAATATAATAGAATATATATATATATATATATATATATATATATGTATGTACTGATAATAGTAGTAGTAGTAGTGGTGGTAGTTATAATATTTATGGCAGCATGTCTAAGTCGTCTTAAACATGCACAAAATTATTAATTGCCTTGATAGAGGCTATATAAGCAAGCTAACAGACTCAGGCTAAATCAAGTCAAGCATTACAAAACGTATAATATCGTCTCACCAATAGGAAAAAAGTCTACGCGTATACGACGTAAACTTATTAGAAAAATATGTTAACTTTGTTGATTTGTATGCAACTTCCAAAAACATGCCTCGTCAATCCCCAAACATTCGCAATAAACTTACGTCTTATCAACTCTAAGACCAAATGAACAGGAAAAAAGATATTCTTCTATAAGATAAGTGATATAGGAAATTAAAATTTTGCTTGCTAAAATAATAATAGGCCTAAATTACAAGTTATTGTTGAATTGAAAGCAAGCGCATGGCCACTTTCTGTTTATGAAATGTGGAGCTTCGTTAACAAAATTTGATATTTTCCGTAATTTCAAATCCTAGTCTGGCTAAACGCTACTAATCTATATCTTCGCTCATATTTCCTTGCAGAAGTCACTAAGCGAAACCAAATAACGGGCCATACCATAAAAGAGCTGAAATCATCATTTGGTCATCATCATCATTGTCATTCCTTATGACATGGGCATATATATATATATATATATACATATATATATATATACGTAAAGTTTTCGTTGCCCGCATTGTCGAGCGTATCACGAAAACAGAATATCGAAGATATATAAGTTATTCGTCTGTTTACGACCGCACAGTCGACCGCAAATGCAGTGAAAAAATGTTCAGAAGTGAAATTATCAGGATCTGGTACTAATTGCGCACTTACAAACAAACTTACATTAGATGCTCATTTAAAATTAAACACAAAG